CTCCACCCCACCGTTTACTCCTGCAGGAGAAATACATACATGTATGCACTGAGGCCTCAGGAGGGTGCCCCTTTCTTTATGTGTCTGCAAACATGTGAAAATGGTAATTAGCCAATAGATAAATCTGGCATTAATCATCTCTCTTTTTTAGATGAGTGTATTGTTATGCACGGCCCTTGCTTTGTAAAGACATATTAACAAATACAAACATTTGAAAATGAAACATTCGTAGAAATACGAAAGGACAATGACTTACAAAATAAGATTGCTGAGATTAAAATTCATCAATAACGCTGTCTGTTTAAATCATGCATGTCCAAGGGGCTATATTTTAGACAAAACATTACATATTTTAAACAAACAAACAACATATCTTCAATTTGAAGCAATAGGAATTCAAGTCCCTTCCTGGAACGTAAATATAACATTTTTATTCAGCAGCGTCAGACAATAGAAATACTATAAAATGGTGGAGCAGTCAGCTGCATGTACTCACTATACAGTATAATCATAATTAGTTATGAGAGAGCACTGCACCATAGCTCACATTAACACCCATCTTAACTTCCTATGACCTTGACACTACCTTGACAGGCATTGGCATAACACTGACCTCATTTCCACACTGATTATGAACAGTCATTTTGTACTGCATGTTCCAACAAACACAAATTCTATTAACATTTCTATTTTTGCATCTCTATTAAACCCCATCTCCCTAGTTATTATTCCGGCTTGCTGCTTCGTCTCCACCTCTCATCTGTTTCACCTGATCCAGAGATCGGGGGAAGCTACATTTCATTTAGTGTTGAATCTGTTCAAATGCCAAGTAGTGAAAATGTCAGCTGCAGTACAAGCACACACACACCTATACATTTACTCTCTTTAAATGCAAACACTGCATGCAAATGAATGTGTCACCCCCTCCAGGCTGGGAAGTGTGAGGTGCGTGTGCGTGTGTGTGTGTGTGTGTGTGTGTGTGTGTGTGTGTGTGTGTGTGTGTGTGTGTGTGTGTGTGTGTGTGTGTGTGTGTGTGTGTGTGTGCGTGGCCAATGTGTTTCTGTCTGGATCCTAATCCCAAAGGTGATATTAGTCTGGTGGGGGGCAACCCATCCCCCCTCTGTGTGTGGTGTGGTGTGTGTGTGTTTGTGCTGCAGGCGTTGGGGTCAGCCAGGAAGCCCAGACAGGCTCTACCTAGACCTTTGACCCATGACTGTCTGCTAGCTCAGGGGTCATGCACAGCATTGATACAGACAGCTGATAGACGCACAAACAAACGCACACCCCTATCTGCACAACCCCAACGCCCCCCCCCCTCCCCTCCTTGCAGTAAAAATTAACAGTTTGGTGTGTCTGGAAAGATGATGACACAGACTGCGTCATCCCAGCTGGCTGTATGCAGAGCGCATGATTAAGCACAAATGATGAAGCTTATTTTAAACGTACAACTACATATGTCGACTCCCTGTATTTTATTTGATGCGGTTTAAGAACACAGACAATAAGAAGAATATTACTGAAATAATTGTGCAGTGTAAGGAGCCTTCTTTTCACTAATCACTGTCCTTTCCTTTGTTCATGTCTCCGCAGATGCAGCCAGTCAGGAGTGCCAACATGGAGGGAAAAGCAGCGACAGTGACAAAGCACACATGCTGTCTGTAGCTCATTTTTCTGAACATGTTTAGCCTGGCCACATGTGGATAACGTGCAAGAACAGTCAGTTAGACACACATCAATAAAGTGTTTTCAGTTTTCTAGTCGTCAGTCTTTGTGGATGTGGACAGGTAAGTTGGAGACACCTTTAAAAGGTAAGTTTAAAAGATTGAATCAATTTAAGAGCTGTCTTAAGTGTTACATTTTGCTGCTCTGCAATATTTTTCAAAATTAGCTTCATTAGATATGAATTACTATATTTGAGAGCAATTTTAGGTCGAAGATTGGATGAGACCCCAAGGGGTCTTTCTTTCCAAACCTAGTCAAGTATTTGACTGGAAAATGGTTTGACAAGAGTTTGTCACGGTTGAATTACTTTCCTCTTTTCTGTGGGACATGATGTACCCATACATAACTACACTATCGTATTCATAGAATAATCAACTCATTTATTTTATAATGATTGCAGAATCCCAAAAGTGTTGCCCTGATATATATTTTCAATAAAGTTGAACAATTTGAAATTAAAGTTTGTCTAAGTTGTTTTTGTCTCTTCTATTCAATTATTGTTTCTATGTATGTCAGTAATGTTTATTTTCTTGCTGAGAATATATATAAGCTGAAAGAGAACGTTATATGATCTGATTATGATATCCTATATTTTTCTTCTTGTCAATCAAATAAAAAAAGATACAAAAACTGAATTAGCTAATATAAACAAGAATGAAGTGTGTGTCCAAAGTCTGATCCATCTTCTCCCTCTGTGCTTTTTAACCTTGACGTTTTCCTATACAATGAGGCACTGTTCTGGTATATACTTTAAACACTCCTTTTAAAATATGTATTATTTGCTTCTGATATAGTCCCAGACATATTCTTTATTTTCCTGTTTTAATGACGTTTGCTACAGTAAAAACTTCAGAGGATTCATATTTGTTTGAGCTTTTTAAAGAATATGAAACTGTATTTGTGACGTCTCTTGAGGGAAATCAACTCGGGCGGAGATTAAGGTGCAAAGAAGAAGGAGCCGACTAGATCATCAACAAACTGGTTTTATTGACTGTAGAATATTACCGGGCACTGCTGCCTCATATCCAACACTCCTCTAAAATGTGGCATGAGAAGCTATATGTTCCCTTGGATTACTCTGATTATTCCAGCAGTGGCTGGAAGGGGAACAGTTAAACCTAGTGGCCTAAATCTGTGGTGTCAATTAGGTGCCTTTGTGTGTGGGCAGCAGGGGTGTTGAAGCGAGTTGCTGGAGCTGAAGGAAACTCTGAACAATGATACACATTCATAACCACACACACACACACACACATTCTGGTCCTATGTTTTGTGTGGATCACACCTCCTTTTGTTTTCCCCCCAACAGCCAGTAGAGGCAAGGCCCCAGTGCCCCCAGTGTGCTCCACTGCTCTGGCTGAAATGGGCTCCCCCTCTGCCCCCCCCC